ACTGACATCAACTTTCAGAACGTCACCAGCTTTTGATTCTCAATTGCTTTAACTTTGGCTGCAAATAAATCAATTCTTGTGGACAGCAGAAACTTTTGCAAGCATTCCAAAAGAATGAGAGACCGTAATATAGATCAAAGATAGCTATGATGTGCAGTAAACAAACATTAATACAGTGAGTTGATCATCATCTATCATGGAGTTGTGTGCTCGTGCATACAATCTCAACAACAACCAACTGATGAGCGGCAAGGGAAAGGACGTGGTTGATTGGATTAGGGGCATTCTGTTGGGAGAAGGAACTTACGACCATGTTTACAATGTAACTGTCACTCAGATCGCCCCACATAGCTGTCAAAACCGAAATTATATCTCTTTCCGAAACATTGAGCAAAGTGTTCCGAAATGGAGGTGAGGACCCACATGAGGTCCATCCTAAGAGGTCTACATTCTCATTCTCGGCTACGTGCACTGTGACGGGCTTGTCATAAACCCTACTGAAAGGTGATTGACAAGCCAGTCACAGCGCACGTAGCTGAGGCTGTGAACGCGACTGCGAAATTGTCTCTTTGTGATTGTCTGACCGCATCCAACCGCTCTTGACCTCCCAGGGGTGCTACTCGTCTTACAGGGCTCCCGGACAGCTCTCTTTGCAGTCGGGTTGGTCCAAGCATTCTATTTAAACTCCAGTTTATGTCCCGAATCAACCTGAAAATGGATACACAATATAAGGGTGATTAACAGCAATAACAAACAGGGAAGAATACAAAGAAAAGGCTGAAAAATAAGGAAATAAAAGAGAAGGAACGAAAACCCCATTTTGACCGGAATCTGGCCGAATATTGAAGATACAATGTCTCTCGGCTCAGATCGCCCTTATTCCCGGCACCCTCGGCTCAGTCGCGGCTCGGTTGTGGTCAACGATAGCGGCCCCGGTTCCTAGAACACTCCCCGAGCTACACCTTACACACAAGCCACACACCCGGCCACTCCGTCGTCAAACCCCTTCTCTCACACAGAGATTCGCCAGATGCCCCACGCAAGGGCTTTAGCCAGCGGGTTGAGCTGGGCGACGGCGCGGTGGCACAGTGACAGACCCAAAGGCGACCCTCAGCTCTCCCACACTCTAAAAGGTCACGAAGAACAGACTGCGAGAGTGAGATCGATCTGGATTTTTCAGACTCATAAAAGAGAGAGAATAAGTTCAGTCGCAGCAGCGGGAGAGAAAGTGAAGTGAAAAGTTGGGGCAAAGAGTGGTGTGAGAGAATATTTAAGGCTTGAGACGGATGGCTGCGATTTAACCCCTAAATCCAACGGTCAAATGACATCCTGCCACTTAAGAGGGCCAGGCCCATAGGGGAATTTGGGTTGGGGCTTTTTTGGGCCTGAGATAAGGATTGGGTTTAGGCCGATGTTCCCAAATTATAGATACAATAATTATTCTATTCGGAGTTTCTGCTTAAACTTCGAGTTCATGAGACTGGGAGCATCTACAATGCTTTTGGAAAAAAAGGAAAATGGCGGCAGCAAACGCTTTTGAGCTAACCACATGAGAAGGCGATCGGTGAATGAAAACAGAACCACAAAGGGGAGAGGAATCTCATTTGGGAATTTTATCGAACAGATAAAGAGCATCTTCCAAAAATTGAATGCTCTTCATTTTTCTCCCCGTAGAAAAAGCATTTTTTTTGTTTCGTCTCTTCTCATCATTCGTTAAAGTTTGATGGAGCTCAATGTGTGTAGAGAAATGATTGGGCTTTCATCTGGTCCAATAAACTAATCTTACCATTTTTCAACCAACGGCCCAACGGTTTTGATCAGTTACAAATATAACTAAAATAGTTTTTGGTGTATCTTCCTCAAATATTCCAATTTATGAGATATGACATGATTATGGACCTAATTAGTCATCATTTTAACTAAGGTGGTACTAAGAGTATAGTGTTATTTATTTAAATTTACAACAAGAAAAATATCAAGTATAGTTTATTAATCGACATGAAAAGAGAAATGAAACGAAAATCTTTGAACAGAAACAGGGGTGTTATTTATCTTAGGTGAGCTCTTCGTGTTTGAGCTCGTGCTCGTTTGACAAAAAAGTAAACAAAATATTCACGAACAATCTTGATTCTATCGGTTTGTTTAAATAAAAGAATGAGCCAATTCAAACTTTCAGTTGAACCAATTTTCAAGTAAACTAAGTTGTGTTAAGGGACATATCAGTTCGTACAACAAACTCTATAAAGACGAGTTGTGTTAAGAAGTTTTATTACGAATTTTTAAACAAATTTTGTTACATTTAAAATTATTTATTAAGTAATAAAAAAATATTTTTAAATAAAATGAAGAGTATTTGACTTTTTATCAATTAATTTGAACATTTGAAAAAATTAAATAGTTCAAATATTTAAACGGTTCAATTATGGTCGGGTGCTTAGAACATAGGATTTACCCTACATGATTAAAGTTGTAATACAATGTCATTTCATAACATAAATATTAATAAAATGATATATACATATTCATAAATCATTTAATATTTGTTCATAAAAACATTTTTAACTTGATTATTAAGAGTTTCGATACATTACATTTATCGTATTAAAGTACTTTAATATTTAAATTTATATTTAGTTTCAATAATCGACTTGGTCGGGCCAAACTGACCCATAACCCGGTCAACCAGATCAACCCTATTTGTGTCATTTTTTCTTGACTATTTTAAATATCACCTAATATTAAATAATTTAATCAACCTAGGTAGTATCTTAATTCAATCACTCGATTGATCTAAATAAATATTCTTGTTTTTCTTAAATATACTTTTCTTATGAAGCAAAAAATATTTTGTGGTTCATGAAGTAGATGTTTATAGTATATGATAAAATATTATTATTATAGACTACATATCTAAATAGATTAATTATTTATTATGTTACCATATTCTCTGATTCATGAAGTAGATGTTCATCAAGGCTCTTAACCTTGTGGTCGTGGGTTCAAGCCCCAGGGTGGGCGTAAATAATACAAGTGTAACGTCCGACCAGCAGGAAACCGCTCCAAACTCGCCTTCCTCACCGGTAGAATGTCGAGACCTACACGAAACTCTCACACTGGAGGGATTTTTCGGTGAAGAGCCTCAAACGCTCAAGTCAGCCTTGAGAAGATGAATAATGTGTGTGAAAAAATGAGTAAGTATGAGAGATTGTATCTAAAAGAGATGAGCCTCACCCTTATATATAGGGGTGAGATACCTGCCCTAAATGCTGCCCGATTTGGATGAGTCAGTTGCCCGATCTGCCCGGCCATACGCCCTCAGCGCATTCAAATGTGTCAGGAATCTGTCAGAAACCATTATGGGCATAGGCCAATCGACTCGTGCCACGTGTTCTTGCGCACATGCAGCCAAGCTTCTTTCAGAGGCTTTAACATTCGACCAAGTCTGGGCAAACTGCTAAGTTGTCCTTCAGAGCAAAGGATGGCCGATCTCAGGACCATTTTTGTTCGACTGCCAAGTGCTTCGACCAGGGCTCCGAGTACTCACCAGGTGCTCTTAAATCCACGTGTCTTTAACTTCTGATCTTTACCGTTTGGCGGGTATTCTGCTCGGCTGACCCGATTAACCAGATTCATCTTGTTGACCCCGTGGACCGGTCTTAATGTATATATAATATCCCATATCAAATTATTTATGCAATTGACATGGTGACACAATATCAACATGAATTA